GGGAGCATTTTATATTAGGGCGGTGGGCGTGATATTGGGGGGAGAGGATTACCAACAGCACAACCACAGCAAGCACAGGTGTTCAAGCCCCGTGGCTGTAATCCTCGAGGATGAAGAACTCCTCGCCATCGATTTCCTGATCTCCATTCATGTCCTTGAATTTGCCAGGTATCTAGTAGCGATAACAGTAATTGCAGTAATAATAGTAATAATAGCAATAATAGTAACAATAATGGGATCAATAGCAGTAGTAGTAACAATAGTCAGAATAGGAATAATCACACAGCGAATAGCACAGGTCGGTGGGGCAATGTCATGTATAGGTTCTCCATTTTGGGGTCTGCTCCCTTGCAAGTGTTCATCACTGGAAACCCAGCATCACATCGCAGTCCGAGACTCCACGAACATGAAAATCTCCGTCACAGGCCCATCAAAATGTGTTGCTTCCACACCTTGGTCCAATGCTTCGTGACAACATGACAGATGAAGCTTCGTTTAAGCCATATAGGCGGAAGAATGGTACGAATCGCAGGAAGTCTTTGATTCTAAGAGCAGCCGCAAACCTCTAGAAGAAGGTGAGCTCCTGTGGTCCTGACCATCGTCGCCATTATCATCACCGTCATCATCATCACCACCACCACCATCATCATCACGATCAATAACGTCATCAGCATCAGTGATGTCATCGGCCCAGCATCGTCTTCACCGTCAGTAATGTCAAAATCATACTGCTCCTGATCACAACATCCTTATTCTTCATCATCACTAATCAGACTAATATTGGTAATATTAGTAAAGCGTGTGAATAACAATAGCAACAACTGCACGGGCTGGAATGCAGACTTGTACATACGTGCATTCAGTCCCAACTGTTGGTGCAAGGTTGGCAAACGGAAAGAAATTGTTGAAACGCCTGCCTAAATTGCAGTGCCTAAGGCCGTCAATCTAGGAGCACTTTGAACACTTTCGTGACGCGGCTTTCTTGTGTGCAGTGGTCCTGCCTTGTGGATGCTGACTATAAGCTACAGTTTCGAGAATCTCCTATCCGTGCACCGGGAGCCCGGCACTTTCTGAACTCTTCGAAGGATATCGCGCCACTTTCATCCACGTCTATGGCCTCAAAGGCCTGCCAGTACGATCGGGCGCAGGGTACAGGGCCACAGGTATTTAAAATAGGGTTTAGGATTTGGGGCTCAGGGTTTATGGATATTCCGATTGAGATGCATTGCTTCAGGTTTGGGGTCTTGTGTCCTACAATGGCAGCGGAACAAAGTCCAACCAATTCGGACCAAATGCTGAAAGGGATCAGAACCCAATCCAAAATCCTGTCGGGTGCATGGATGGCGGAGCTACAACTCGTACTACAAAACCATCTCGTAAGACCAACCTGATCGCATCTCCACTCATGGTAGTTTCCTAAGCTAGGGGTACCTTTTTGGGGGTCCATCTAATGAGGACTATACTATTTTGATCTATTTTGGGGTCCACCTTTTTTTGAACTGATACGGATTATGTAGGGATTATATTCCCTTATTCCCTAGTCACGACCTGTAAGAGAAGTGAGGATGCTGTCGCAGTCGCAGCTTCAGGGTTCTTCCCTTAGGCCGTACGAGTCGCTTCGGATCTAGGTCCTGCTGTGCGCTCGCTTTCGATCTCATGTTTTTTTTTGTTTGCACGCGCTCGTAGCAGTCTCCAGGAAATAGAACACCATCCTACAACGACTGTTGAGGAGCACTTCCGAAAGTTAGTCCCCCAGCACACCCCTGAAATGGTAAAGTCGCCCTATCAATCGACACTGTAACAATTAAGCATCATTTTCGCGGGAATATGGATACTGAGAACTTCTCAAAGTAGTTCCGGCGATCATAGCACGGCCTTCGCAAGGGATCCATAGAAGACCTCCAGGTCACGCTTTAGCCTGAGCATAGGTGTCTCAGGCACAAGCCTACCTGTCTTCTGCTGTTGCACTGCTCCTGCAACCACGGTTAGCCGCGATGACGACTACGACGACGACTGCTGTAACTCCTGTTCCCGCACCCAGGCTTCTACTCCCACAGCTGCTCCTCCCTTGACAATCGGCCAGCGCCGTTATTATAATAGAAGCAACATGACACAACCAGTCTTGCTAGGATGCTGAAACTTTGCAAGCCTAAGACTGCAAAGCCTAAGTTGCTGGCAACTTGTCAAGAGTATTGCAGACAAGACAGTAAGCTCTTAGGCTCAGCAGCCTTCCATGCCCCGGGCACCCCACGATTCGCAGTCAAGCCTCAAGGCCTGAAACCGTTAAACCTGCGACAGAAATGTACTGCCCACTTAAACTGCAAAATCTGGAAAGTTCGCAAGTTCAGGTCTGGCGGCTCGTACATGGACTGCTGCAGTTCGCGCCACACACGCCTGGGCCGGTCTCCAACCCAAATTGCAGCTTCGAAATAAATGTCGAAAGCATACATCCAAGTCATATGGTAGTTTCCTTAAATAAAGGGATGACAATGTAGACCCCCATATACTACTATCCTTAGTATTGGGACCCCCAGAAGGGTACCCGTAATTTTGGGAACCCCCATATGGGGAACTCCAGAATAGTTAGACGAAGCAGCAGAGCCACCCCAATATACCATGTAGTAGTTTCCATGTTCTTGTCCATTATCCCTAGATAACCCCAATATACTATATCGTAGTTTTCATTTTCTTTTTCATGATCCTTATATAACCCCGATGTACCATGGAGTAGTTTCCATTTTCCTTACCAGTATCCCTATGTAACGCCTACAAACCTCTATAATCCCCATATATCATCAAGCCGAGCTGCTCCAGGGTCTCAAATTCCCTCCGCGAAATGTCTCCGTCATGCGACGTGTCCAGGTATCGAAAAACGCCTTGAACTTTGGGTCTTGAATGGTATGAGTAGTACTTGTTGTAGTTGTGGTAGTGGTAGTGGTAG